TTTTTCGATTATCTCGCGTGGTCCTCCGTTCATCCCTGAAGATTTTTCGATCATCATGATAGGTCCTTCTGACATTCGCCCTGCGGTAATCATCATCACTTCCTCGATCATCACGAGAACTCGTTCGATCGCCATGTCGTAACCTTTGCTGGTCTACAGGGCTTCTTCGATGATCATCAGGAGTTTTCCTATCGTCATGAGGGCTCCCTGCATCACTACTAGAACTTCTTCGATCATTATGTGGAGCCCTTTGATTTGCTGCAGAGATTTTTCCATCTTCACGATTGGCTGTTTCTTCTACAGAGTTTCTGCGATCATTTTCAGCCTTTTCATGGTCAGGAGCAAAGCTTTTTCCATCGTTACCTCGATTTTTTCGCCCATCTGCATGGTCACTTTGATGCCCTTCAGAACTTTTCCGATCACTGCTCGAACTGCTGCGATCATCAAAAGTGGTCGTTTGCTCGACTGCCGGACTCCTTCGACGATCCACAGATTCTGATGGACCGTTGCGACGTCTCTCCTGATCACCACTTAAGCTAGGGCGATCGTCATGAAGGGTTCCTGTCTCTTCTGGTGTATTCTTCCTGTCCGTTTGAGGATTCCTGCTCAAACCAAGTACACCTCCTTGGCAAATGCTTCCAGTATTTGGCTTGTTTCGAGGGCTCCCTTCTTCACTGCTTGAACTTCTTTGATCGTGACCAACAGGTTTCTGGTCGTCATGATGGGTGTTCCCCTCTTCCGTGAGGTGCCTTATGTCTGCTTGAGGACTGCTGCTGTGCTCACTTCTACTGTCATGATCACCTTCTCGAGTTACCCGCTCACCAAGAGGGATCCCTTGATCACCACTTGAACTGCTCAGATCGACATTATGGGTTTTAGCCTCTTCTATGAGGCTCCTTACGTCTGCCTCGGGACTGCTACTGTGAACAATTTCACCATCTCGACCATCAACTCGAGTCCCCAGTGCATCGCCAGGGCTCTCTTGACCACTACTTGAACCGTTTCGATCGGTTCTTGACTCTACCACGGGGCTTTTTATGTCTGTTTGAGAAACCATGAGGTGATCACTTTCACGCTCGCGTTTATCAGTCGAGTTTTGCGTATCTTTTTCTCCCCCAGGGTTCCTTTGATCACTACTTGATCTCCTCTGATCGTCAGGACTTTTTCTGTCATGATCATCTGACCTCCGGTCATCACGTCGAGCCTTTCGTTCGTCGGAAATGTTTCGGTGATCACTAAAACGCTTCTTATCACCATCAGACCTCCCTTCATCACTGCTTGAACTGTACCGATCATCACGATGAGCTTGTCTCAGGTCTGCAGAGACCTTTCGACTGCCCCGAGTGGCTTTTCTCTCCTCTACAGAAATCCTCCTCTCCGTTTGAGAACTTCTCTGATGATAGTCACCACGAGAGGTACTACGCTCATAATGACGAGTCTTCCGGTCGTCATCAGGGGATTGTCGGTCATCGTCAGCGCTCCTCTGATCGTGCTGCCAACGCCACGATCTAAAAAAGTTTAAATACCACGTAAAACAAACCATAAGAAAAACAACAATAATGAAGCAAAAATAGGCAGCAACTCTAAACAATGGCACTAA